TACTTTAGCTCCCAAGTCGAACCAGCCTAAAATGGGTACCAGGTGAAGACCTGGGAAGTAAAGTCGGCCGGCGGGGTGCTGACGACGTCGACCCACCGAGTGATTAAAATAAAATGTATGAGTCAGCAGCGATGTCCCAACATAGCAGTAAAGAGCAACACCTACAAACCACTGGTATTGTCTATCTTCTTTTACGGATGTGGGAGTTGATTTCTTACTGTGGACATGGGCAGGAGGAATTCAGCATTTAGAATTGTATTGCTATTCAGAACATAAAACTAACAAATATGTAAGAGACAAAACAGGCAAATTTGCAGGACATCAGGGGCCTCCTTCGGCAGTGGTTTGGTTCGAGCATTTGTGAAACATGATTTGATTGCAAAGACTATATACTCCAAGAACACTGAGAGAAAAGAAAGGGGAAGGCGGTTAACGGAGAAGGGTGGGTAGTCGGGGAAAAAAGGAGCGGGGAGGAGTGAAGTCTGGAATGACAAATAAATAAATTATCATACACTTGTTCAACAGGCGGGTTGTGTGTGCTAGCGCTTCCATCGATACACCCCCACGACCCTAACGGGTCTAAGGTTAGGTTATGTTATGTTATCTTATTTATGGGTCTAGCATCATATATCGGGTGCGTCCCCGGGGTAAAAATTGACCTTTTTTTTAAACTAAACACCCACCCGGCTCGCTAGCGTAGTTGGCTAAACCTGACTGCGCGGTGACCGGGAAACGAACTCCTTGTGGTCCGGGTTCACGACCGGGGGTAGGCAGAAAAGCCATATTTCTCCCAGATTTAAGGTATTTATCATGGAATCAAAGCCGAAGGGTTGCGATATATATAATACTGAGCCTAATGGTTAACAGCTCATGGCTTCTGGATACTAAAAAAAAAAAAATCCAATGTTCCAGTGCGTGAAAAAGAGTTATTTTCCCTTAGCCGCCGGGTTCTAACCGAGACAAAATAAGCATGCATGCGAGGTCCACACGGGAGGGGGGGAGGAGGAGGAGAGAGAATGGGGCAAGGGGATGGGTTTGGGGCGAGATGACGGCTGGAGGTCACTCAGGTATGTAGATGTGAACGATCTAAATAAATGAGCATTGATTCGGCTAGCTCGACAGTTCAATGAGCCGGCCTGTCTATCGATCCGTCTTCGTACCGGCTCGCTCGTGATTCAACCAGAATCCGCCGCTGGTAACCTGCGCTGTCGCCCCCAACCCAATCATACTTTTAAATAAACTGTCAGCAAGTGACAGGCTGGGGACACGCAGGAGCACAGAGATTGAAGTGTGTGCAGTGTGTTTGTTTACACAACGATCAATAACTTCTTCATTCTAATTATTATTTTTCTTTTTCTTCTTCCTTATTTGTCCTCTTCGTCTTTCTTCATTCTTCTCCCCTTCATCCTTCTTTTCCTCCTACTCTTCTCTGTCTGCTACATTATCCTCTTCTTCCTTTGTATTCTACATTTTTCTGGGTTTTTTTCTTCCTTCCAAAGACTAAAACAACTGAACAAATTACGGAGTGGAATAGACAGAACTACAAAAATTAGATTTACAGGAGCATGCATCTTTCCCATCACAACATACAACTGTGAGACCTGGACACAAACTAAACAAGCTGAACAGCGCATAAATGGCTTGGAATACAAATGTTGTCGAATATCACTGGTAAAGAAAAGAACAAATGCATCAATACTTCAGGAATTGAATACTGAAGAAGGTTGGCTATAAAAGAAGATAAATCACAGAAAATTGAAATATTCTGTTCACTTGAATCGTCACGAAAGTTTAGAGAGAACAATAACGGAGGGGTATATGCCGGGGAAGAGAGGAAGATAAAGGCCAAAGAGAAGATGAGTGCAGGATGTGGCAGATGATCTCCAGATGGGTCTATCGGACGCGGGACACCTTGCTTGTGGTCGTGAAGTTTTCTGGAAGGTTGTTATGGGAGCAAGGTTCTGCAAAGGACAGGCTACTGACTGACTGACTTATTCCTTATGTTTCCTTTCACTTTATATTTATACCATGAATTTTGAAATCTGAACATATAATGCTAGACATACAAAATACAACATTATAGGGCCTTTGTCACAGCTATAACCTCCACTGTCATGCTGCTAGTGGCAGAAGTAAAGGCTTCACTTCAATCAGTCCCGACACAGATGACCTTCCACAAGCCATGCTGTATGGGGTTGGTAGTCAGGGCTATCCACAACGTTATTTCTCCAGTACTTTCAATCAATTCTGAGAAACGATCTTCCATTCCATGATGCCAAACTGTCAAGCATCTTCTCTCTCTCTCTCTCTCTCTCTCTCTCTCTCTCTCTCTCTCTCTCTCTCTCTCTCTCTCTCTTTCCCTGCCTTTTTTCACCTCCAACTTTCCCACCGTCACGATGTACTCCAGTTTTCTCCTTTTCAGTCAACATCCACGCCAAGAAAATCAACAGATCATGGAGCCAGATGTATGGGAAAAGCTGACACAGCCAGGGCGTCACTAACAACAGCTCGCTAACGTATCATATATCAAAAGGGGCTGAGCCAAGATGATAGGCCATTAAATACCTTCATCGCAGCGCTCGCGACATGTCAATGTGTTCTTCGTCTCCCACAGCAGATACGTGTGGATCTTTAAGTCCCAGGGGCCAGAAGCTTATACACAACTACGCTATGTCCTAGCCCACGGTTGTCCCGGCCCTCCTGATTGTGCTAAATACTGAGGCCGTGACCGCCAATGTCCGCTCTCACTGAGCACCAAAGGAAGGGGGGAAGGGGGGGGGGGGAGAGAAAGATGCAGAAGCAAAACAAGAAAGAAAGAATGGAGAATGAGAGAAGAGTCGACGGAGGTGACAGCAGGAGGATAGGGGATAAGCAAAAGAAGAAGGATGAAAATAGAAAAACAAACTTGGATGATGATGATAATGAGGACGAGGTGGTGCGATGACGGCAGCAGCAGCAGCGAAGAAGAAGAAGAAGAAGAAGAAGAAGAAGAAGAAGAAGAAGAAGAAGAAGAAGAAGAAGAAGAAGAAGAAGAAGAAGAAGAAGAAGAAGAAGAAGAAGAAGAAGAAGAAGAAGGAAGAAGGAGGAAGAAGAAGAAGAAGAAGAAGAAGAAGAAGAAGAAGAAGAAGAAGAAGAAGAAGAAGAAGAAGAAGAAGAAGAAGAAGGAGAGGGTGATAATAAAAGAAAAGGGGGGGGGGAGACAGAAAGTTACAGAAGTGAACAACTAGATTTGAGACAGTTTAAACAATAACATCACCACCACACGAAGCCATGAGAAAGCCATGGTTAATTAACCTAAGGATTGCGAAGTACCGAAAGAGTTAGGTGTTTCAGATCTAAAAGGAAAATCGATCACCAGGAGGAGCCGCTGTAGTCTTGTTATAAAGGTGAGCACAGTATCTGCCACCGGGTTCTTGGCTTTTACCTTTCTAACAACTTAACATCTAAAAACTCAAAAGAAGCTAATTACTTACGCGCCTCGCTCTCTGGGCACTACTTAGAATATTACAAGTAAACATGACACTGTATACGCGATCAATGATATGATGCTTCTTTATCTAATTACACTCCCACCCCCACACTCTTTTCTTCTTCACTCCTCTCTCTCTCTCTCTCTCACTCTCTCTCTCTCTAGCTCAGCAGTTCTCAACATGTGGGTCGAACGACCCGTTCACAGGAGTTCGCAAATACCACGGAAAAACACATGAAGTAGCAACGAAAATAATCATATGGTTGGAGGTGGCCACAACACGAGGAACTGTACTGAAGTGTCGCGGCATTATGAAGTTTAAGAACTACTAAGTTAGAAGAAGTTGATTGTAGATTTTCAGAATAGTGCTACGGGCGTACAAGAGTTTCCTCTACCAACTCATGGCAAGCCTTGGTGATGCTGTAATTCCTCATCATCATCTTCCTCACGGCCTATTCTCTCCCCCACCCTCTGTCCGCATGTATGCTATGTGTGTGAGAGAGAGAGAGAGAGAGAGAGAGAGAGAGAGAGGGGGGGGGGGGGAGAGAGAGAGACAGAAAGAGAAAGAGAGAGAGAATGTGAGTGTGTGTATGTGTGTATGTATGTATGTATGTATGTATGTATGTATGTATGTATGTATGTATGTATGTATGTATGTATGTATGTATGTATGTATGTATGTATGTATGTGTGTGTGTGTGTGTGTGTGTGTGTGTGTGTATGTATGTATGTATGTATGTATGTATGTATGTATGTATGTATGTATGTATGTATGTATGTATGTATGTATGCGTGTTTGTATGTATGTTTGTATGTATGTATTATGTATGTATGTATTTATGTGTGTATGTGTGTGCGTGCGTACATACATATGTATGTATGTATGTATGTATGTATGTATGTATGTGTGTGTGTGTGTGTGTTTGTGTGGATACTCGAAAACTTCGTAAAGACTGGCAAGATTGGCTGGAAACAGAGCAAGAGGAAGGATAAATACCTAGACGGGAATGGCCAGATGAATGGGACAGGACAGAAGCATTGCACTGATCCGAGATTCTGGTGATCCTGTGAATAGCGAAACATGACAGCCTACATTTATAACGACGGCACATGATGATGCTGATGTATGTGTGCATGTATGTATGTTTTCACACATGTATGAATGCACGTACGTATGGGACAGGGGGCTGTCGGCAGCAAGAATTTTATATGGGGTGCCTTAATTGGTTTGAGCCTTGTATAAGTGCATAATAATAACAACAACAAGGTGATGCTTGGCTAATAAAAAAAGAATAATATATCTGTATTAAAATTACCCATATAAGAGCACATCTAAGCAAGGCTGGAAGAGGGTGGCGCTAAGTTACATTTTCTAGAGGATAATGTTAGCCGGTGGAGAAAAACAAAGGGGGGGGGGGTGTTTTACCCCTTCCCTTTCAATCATTTTTTTTGTTTTGTTTTGTTGTTGCAAGGGGTCTGGGGTGGTCAGGATCGGGTGCCCCCTCTATCAGAGACAACATCTGCTACTCACCGCGCTGACGATAATTCTGGAGAAGGTCAGTTTGATGGCCTCTCGAAGTTCATCCAGGTCTCCGGCGTCCAACACAGGCATCAACGCCTCCTGAGGGGCAGATAAACAACAATTAAATAATCATCACATCGATTTTACTTTCAGCGTTACCAGATTATCTCCTCTTGGAGGTAATGCATTATTTACAACAACAACAAAAACAAACTGCTAATATATCGGATGGTTGTCACAAACCGTCCCCTTGAGGGACGCCATTTTTCGTTATTTTTAAGCACCACCCTGGCTGTTGCCGGGGGCCCTATTTTTTAGTCTCAAGAAGCCATGAGTTGTTAACCCTTAGGCTCGGTATTATGGATATGGCAACCTTTCGGCTTTGATTACATGATAAATACCGTAAACCTGGGAGAAATGTGGCTTTTCTGCCTACTCCGGGCGTGAACCCGGACCGCAAGAAGTTCGTCACTCGGTCACTGCGCAATCCGGTTTAGCCAACTATGGGGGCCCTAATATAACCCAACCTATAAGTTGAACAGGGTTTCTGGGACCTCTCCACGGATGATTCTCATCTGCAAGGTGGCACTGTGTGTCACAGGGTGTTTATCGCTTGGTGTGATGTCCTGGTGGGGTGAAACATAAATCAATCAATAAATCTCGAATGGATTTAAAAAAACCAGGGTATTTTTAATAGGGTGGATAGAATTTGTATGTATGTATGTATGTATGTATGTATGTATGTATGTATGTATGTATGTATGTATGTATGTATGTATGTATGTATGTATGTATGTATGTATGTATGTATGTATGTATGTATGTATGTATGTATGTATGTATGTATGTATGTATGTATGTATGTATGTATGTATGTATGTATGTATGTATGTATGTATGTATGTATGTATGTATGTATGTATGTATGTATGTATGTATGTATGTATGTATGTATGTATGTATGTATGTATGTATGTATGTATGTATGTATGTATGTATGTATGTATGTATGTATGTATGTATGTATGTATGTATGTATGTATGTATGTATGTATGTATGTATGTATGTATGTATGTATGTATGTATGTATGTATGTATGTATGTATGTATGTATGTATGTATGTATGTATGTATGTATGTATGTATGTATGTATGTATGTATGTATGTATGTATGTATGTATGTATGTATGTATGTATGTATGTATGTATGTATGTATGTATGTATATGTGTGTGTGTGTGTGTGTATGTATGTATGTATGTATGTATGTATGTATGTATGTATGTATGTATGTATGTATGTATGTATGTATGTATGTATGTATGTATGTATGTATGTATGTATGTATGTATGTATGTATGTATGTATGTATGTATGTATGTATGTATGTATGTATGTATGTATGTATGTATGTATGTATGTATGTATGTATGTATGTATGTATGTATGTATGTATGTATGTATGTATGTATGTATGTATGTATGTATGTATGTATGTATGTATGTATGTATGTATATGTGTGTGTGTGTGTGTGTATGTATGTATGTATGTATGTATGTATGTATGTATGTATGTATGTATGTATGTATGTATGTATGTATGTATGTATGTATGTATGTATGTATGTATGTTTGTATGTAAGTATGTATGTATGTATGTATGTGTGTGTGTATGTATGTGTGTGTGAGTGTGTGTGTATGTATGTGTGTGTATGTATGTATGTATGTATGTATGTATGTATGTATGTATGTATGTATGTATGTATGTGTGCATATGTATGTATGTGTGTATGTATGTGTATGTATGTATGGATGTATGTATGTATGTATATATGTATGTGTGTGTGTGTGTATGTATGTATGTATATAAATGAGCGAGTGAATGTGTGAGTAGGCGTGAGTGCGTGTGCGCATGGATTTACCAGCCATGCGCCCCCCCCCCCCCACCTCCCCTCCTTAATATTCATACTGTGCATACTGCTATATGAACATGCCATGCTTTGTTGACAAAAAACAACTGCTGTGTTTGGAAGGGGCGAAGGTAAGACGGGCCTGCGTGCCCGATTTGTGACACTTTGAAGAAAAAAAAGTTCGTTCGTTCGTTCAGTGTTCACTCTTTAAAGGAAGGCTGGCACGCTGTGCCTTTTGACCCAACAAGTTCGACTTCAGTAAACTGACACTCTTTTTAACCCCATTAAGACATCACTATGGGCGAAAAACACCCGGTGACACAAAGTACCACCATTCCAATGAGGATCACCCGTGGAGAGTTCATAGAAACCGCGTTCCACCACCGTTAGGTTATATTAGGAGCCTCTGCAACAGCCAGGGTGGGAGCTTAAAAATAACGAAAAACTGCGTCCTTAGTCGTCTTTTACGGTAATCTTGTTAAGGTCGGCGTCTGTGGCTTAGGCGCTGCAGGCGATTCGGCAGCAGACCGTCTTGTGTTGGTTTTGATTTTGGTATCGAAAGTCGACCGTTCAAGGCAATGGCAAACTACTAAACGTAAATTTGGATAGAAAATCCACAAAACCAAAAATGCTGGAGCTGGTTCTGCAACGTCCTGTAAGGAATGGGGGAAGAGGGTGTTAAGGGGTACTGAGTCAAATCATTTTCCTCCCAAAATAGGGTCCCAAACAAACATGGAAAAACGCAAAGATAGGAAGGGAACCAAAGAATTTGACCTGAACGAAAGTACTGATGGACAAAGCCGGCAACGCCATCCAGAGGTCTCATTTCTCGCACCCTATCAACCCATCCCACGACTAGTGGACCAGAAACTGGGCCCAATGAGGCCTGTCGAAGGTCTTTGAAATTGTCTATACAATCACGCATTTCCCGGTCGCAGGACGGGACAACACAAAACCTGTCAATCAATAGCTAGACGGAGGAAAAAGTTCTGCTGTGATTCCGACGCTGGGATTGGGTACCAGGGTTCGGACGAACGGTACATGTCTTTAACTGCAATGGATCTTAAATTTGTTTCACCGACAATCTCCATGCTGCCTATGAGTTGCGGTCTTTTTGTTTTCTTCTGCTTCTTCTTATTCTCCTCCTCAAACTTCTTCTTCTCCTCCTCTTTATCCTTTTTAATCATAGGCTTAAAAACATGAGACATAATGAAGTGGCAGAGAGGCTGGCTTCCCCGCCCCCCCCCCCCTCCCAACAAGGACAATGGCAAAGGTGTACTATGACTATGTAATACTCGCACATGGAACAGCCCAAAGGACAAGGGCCAGACGAGACCACAAAAATACGCACTCCTACTGTTACATGCAGACCAGGGACAGTCAAAGGCTAAAGGAAGCAAATCAGTATCGATCGATCGGTTTGTTCCTTCCGGGCTGCTACTTTAAGGGTTACCATGACATTCTAGGATTAAACGACCTCAATATGGCAACAAGGCGGATGCCAGATATCCTGTTCAACCTACAAAGAAGATATAATCCGGGAACACGTAATGACTAGACCAGCCAAGTGTAGCCTGCAGGATTTTTTGGGAAATGTGACATTGTCTGGTCATTTAATAAATGCCTATTTGTTTATAATATATACCATTTCCACAACCTTAAGTGTTCCCCACCTGTTCATTTCTTAAATAGGAAGAGCAAAGGACGCATTTTCAAGCCTGGGTGAGTACTTGGCACACTGCTAGCTCTACAGTTTTATAGATCAATCAACGCTCAAAGTGTGATGTGGCCACTGTCACGCCGCTCGCCTTCACTTCCCGAGACATTTTCACTTACATTTTTAGGTTGGGCGCACAGATAAGTGTAAGTCAATCTTTACCAGGCAACTCACCATATGTTTAATAGTTAGTCAATAGACATTTGCTGAAAATTTTTTTTTACATGTACCGCCTCTACTGTGTAAACAGAAGGAGTTCGTTATAAATCTGAAGTTGCCCTGGTAAGCCACGTGAGCAGGTTGACCTTCCTGCGATTATATGAAAATGTATTGACATAGACACTGTGATGTGTATTTGAGTGTAATTAATTCAGTTTCTATCCATTATATGTTAATATGTAATTAATTCAGTTTTATCGCACTATATGTTGATATGTAATTAACTGAGTTTTCCCCCATTATATGTTGATATAACTGAGGTAATGCATCTGAGGAGATACACAGACATATGCAGGGCACTAAACTGTGCAATGCACTGGTTGTGTCCACATTATTAAAATCAGCTATGAAGGTTACTACAGAGCAACAACTTATGTCGTTGGGAATATTACATGGCGAGAATCTAATCTCTTCTACGTTCGACTCTCGTCCAACAAATATAGAGGCTTTTTTTTTTTTTTAAAATAAGCTGTCCGCCGTAGACATATTTTTACAAACCGCTAGCCTAGTATTCCTCTATCTTGAAACTGTTAAATGCCTACACTAACAAGCCAACAAGCAATGCCGCAAAATCATTGAGAAACGGGACATCAGATGGTTTGATCATTTAGTAAGAATGCAGCCAGAACACCTAAGAACGCAGGCGATACACACGAAAAGATCTGAAGTGAAAGCAAAAAGGCCGTACTAGAAGAAATTGACTAATGACATTAAAGAGCTTTTATATCGACACGGAATGACTGCACCAATGAGGCCCATTAAGCAGTGGATCGCAAACTGTTCCTCCCCACAACGCTTAACGACAGAAGTGGAAATTGATGATGATGATGGTAATGATGATGATGATAATGAACAAGTCATTCAGCCGCACTTCAAACCAGAATTTCTCGAAATGGGTAAATAGTCGCCATCAGACGTCGAATACACCCTGAGGGAAGTCTGAACTCATGTACTCTATTGTACGGTTCAGACCCCATTCCGATGAAACTTTCACTGTATAAGTGAGCGAAAATAGCAAGTTTGCGCCATTCGCCTCAACGGACGAAAAAGCGTACCGCCATTGTGGCTGTTTACACAGGAAGCTTGTCATTCATGGAACACGTTGACCATGTGATAACAAAAGCACGCAAAGGTCCAATATCGAGCAAAGACTACTAATATGTCTTTTCTACGGTCTGGTCCTTTCCCCCATTGAATACGCTCTGGCCATCCTCACTGTCAGTGCTACCCAGATTGAACGACTCGAAAAGGT